TATAGAAAAGTTGGGATTAGATATAAGTTTTATATACCATAACATGCGATCCTCACATTACATGATGAAAGCAGGCATAAGCCTTGTATTAAGCAACTGAGACACTATACGTCATGCGAGGGCCTCGGCTTTGCAAGTGAAACAAAACAATTGCTAAGAGCACGTGAGAGGTGTAGTGGGCTTGAAATTTTCTTTAATATATTTTGTATAAACTAAAAGATACACAAGTAAATAACTTAGAACTACTTAGAACACTTACACCAGGAGAGGAAACAAAAGGCTTGACCTATACCTTATGAAAGTCTTAGCTCAGTGCCATCTTAAGGGACTATTGTTCTTTTGCCTGTCAAGAGCAGGAAAGAAGATTGTTTGAACTTTAATCATATTCGCGTGTAACGAAGGAAAAAGGGAAAACTGAGAAACTAAATTAGAAGCAAAAATTAACGAAACTCGCAACGTAACTTCTATAATTTCTCATGTATAAATGGAAAGCAAGATACTTATTGCTCAACTGCAATAGGGCAGTTAAAACAGGTAGAGAGGTAATAGATTCGATGTTCAAAATTGAAGTAGAATGCAGAGGTGTAAGAGATACAAATTAGCGTTAAAGGGTTGAGAAAAGAAAAGAGAGAATTTGGTGACTGGTAACTTACCGTTAACTTCCTCCAAAATCAGCTGCATTGAGGAGTCTGTTGAGAATCCGATCTTTACCATGATCTCTTCCAAACGCTTCATGTTTGTCAGGTAGAGATAACCGATCTGCAAATACGTTGTGAAGACTAGCTTTTTAGTGAACAATTACAAATCTACTTCCTAAAGATTGATTTGAGGAATCTTAAATATATTATGTTAAAGACTTCCCACATCTGATACCACACACTATATGATAAACAGTGGTTTTATAACAAGACTTATCGTCCCAATAGTACATAAAACTGAACATCCCAACATGGTAATCAAATGGTCCGCATTAACCTTTTTCGTATCAAGCTTATTAGTCAAAATTATGGGAAATTGAATGTATTCTTAAAATACTTGGAAAATCCACAAGGTACGAGGGAACTGACTAATGTTTCCAGTGAAGACGCTCTATTGTAAACTGCTGTACCAGCACGCTTTTTTGTTCGTGTTTTAGCCGAGCCAATATTCTTTCCCCACCGAAGAATATTCCTACAGCAAGAATCAAATGCAATAAAACTAAGTAACAACATCTCGAGATGAATGACATACCACTCTTGTTTAGACAATATGTTAGCAAGAGTTTAACCCTATACACTTTAATTGAAAAGATTGCATAAGAGGACAAAACAATATGCAGATCTTCTTTTGGTAGCGTTAAATCGCAGAGTAATTTCACAACCTACATCGATGATTTATCATTCTCTAAATGGTGCAGCATAAAAAAAAAAAAAAAACAACAAAATGTCTTTTGACAACATGTAGTTCCAGCCTCACAAGGTAGCTTCTAGACTACAGGATATAAAGCATGCATATCAAAACCTTTCATATATAGCACAATAGGATTGATGAGATGTACACTTGTAACTTGTGTAAGAGTTAGAAACAGAAATTGGCTACTTTTGGCAGTAAAGACTTTGTGTTAAAACAATTTCTTTAATGTACTCCACATGAAAAAGATAAGGAACAAAGAAGCATACTTCACTACTTGGTTCTTATCAAGATAAAAGTTCATATAGAAGAAGCAGAAAACTTTAACAAAACCAACCAGTCTTAAATCTTCTACCAACCTTTCTTGTTCTGATAAGTAATTATCACTTATAAGTTTCTGGAGCAAAGCATCCTGAATGGAAGAATAGTAAATCAGTATTTTGAATAAAAAAAAAAAGAAATTTATCAATGTTCTTCCAACTGACCTATTTGACAACCATACAAAGCTAATGCACGACTTAAGAAGTATAAAGACAATCTTGTCGTATGAAATGTATCCATGGAAAGCAAATCACTAAGCCTAGCTCTACAAAGCAAAGGTCAATTTTAATATGGTTATATCCAAAATGCACAACTGCACAAAAGGACGCGCAATTGAGAAGACAAAAAACGAGACAAGTGTCAACAAGGCCATAGTAATATGGTTGTGTAGGACTACATCATACTTGTGCTTCACAACATACGACTGCCGTGACACGAACATTGTATTCTTCAATACTCAAGGGAGGGAACAAGAAGTGCCTGCGGGCATATAGCTGCATTTTTTCAGAAATAAATATTCAGAGTAAGTCACTCGTGAAAGTTAAACATCATCATGATCATGAATAATAACAATGTGATCACCCATATATGCAAAAATGAGTTATGGTAATTTGAATAGAACTAAATAAGTTGAATACAAAGCATACTTCGTAAATGCAATCACCAAGATATGCCAATGCCGCTGCATTGAACATGGATCGAGGCTTTTGTACTTTAGGTGGACTAGGCAACCATCGGTCAAAGCCCAAATAGGTATCATCCATTTTTTCCACTTCCCCTACAAAATGAAATCCCATTAAGATTCCAAACTTCCAATCACCACAATGCTCCTGTTAGTAAATGAATTAACCAAGAAAAAAACAACAACTGAGAAATAATTCTTTGTACCATTAAGGCTGGAAAATACCAATTGTAATTCTTTGTACCATTAAGGCTGAAAAATACCAATTGTAATTCTTTGTACCATTAAGGCTGAAAAATACCAATTGTAATTCTTTGTACCATTAAGGCTGAAAAATACCAATTGTAATTCTTTGTACCATTAAGGCTGAAAAATGCCAATTGTAATTCTTTGTACCATTATGTTGTGGCCTTGTCCAAAGTACTATTTGCAAATAATACGAAAACAAGAAGTTCCAATCTTATACTTATTGTCATCAGAATTGAAGTGACTGAATGATAAACATATAATGATATTTTAACTTTTCAATCCAGAGAAGATAATACCAAGAACCAATAACCATACAGCACCACAACTAAAGAAGTTATTCTTGTTTTGATAAACAAAAGGTTTAAACTTTTGAACCCAATTCTCATGTACTTTCTATCTCTTAGCGCTCAAACAGTGTGTGTGTGTGTGTGTGTGTGTGTGTACATGTATATTTTTAAAAAGACCGTATATTTTTAAAAAAGACAATGTTCCTAAAACCCAAAAGAACTCCTAAAAGGCTAAAACCCCAACCCCATATAGCTAAATACAAAAACTCAAACTACCCATTGAAGGAAGAATCCCATTTCCAACAGCACAAGACCGACGGTTTTCTATTCATTTTCTTAAATTCTACAAAGCGTAACCATCGAAAAGAGAAGTGGGTTTACCTGGAGGGTGGCGTTTGAGAAGTTGAGAAATGGAATCGATCATGCGGGCGGTTGAGGCAGTTAAGGTGATAGTTGGTGGTGGCGGAGGAGGGGTTTTCTTGGGCGGCTTTCTGGGGGCGTTGGGATTGTAAGGAACCATCTGTTGAGTATCCCAAGAAGCTCTCACTCTTAAACTCAGTGGACAAGATGTCAAAGATGATAATGTTTGCATCTCCACTTACTTTTCCAACTGTTTTTTTTTTTTTTGGGGGGGGGTTAGAAACTTTACCAACTGATTGATAGTTGATTCTCTCAGACACTCCCGTTTCTGAGAACTAAGAAGGGTTCTTTTTCTCCTTATCAATCTCTGCTGATGGTGACGTTCAACGACTCAAATCGCGAATTGCCCATTTCTGTAGGTCGGCGTGCTCAAACGACAAGTAGATGTCGTTCATCAGGTAAGCACATTGTCGTTTTCATAATAAACGACATGTGGTTTTGCGTAAATTTCGTTTCCTTCCCCTTGGCCTTTGGGAAACGGCATGTATTTTCTAGGACAATTTGCTGCGGTTTATTTAAAGACGAGATGCCCTTTCTCTTAAAAGGAAAACGACATGTCATTTGTCGTTAGAAACTGCTCTTTTTTCAACAATTGAAAACTAGATGTCGGTTCCTACACATCTTTTTGGTGTCGTTAGTGTGTAGCATATATTTTCGTTGATATTTAAAAACTTAATTGTTTTTGGATGATTAATTACTGATAAATTAACTCTAACAAATGATATGGCGTTTTAAAGTAAATAAACTATACAGATGCTTTGTCTACAAAATGAACGTTACATAAAAAGGACGTGTAGCGTGCCCGAAGCTTTTATTGTTTTCTATGGAAACGACATAACATATGTATTTAAAAAATTATTAAATGTAATTACTGAATTCCCATTCGTTGTTGAGAATTTTTTTTGGGTCTTAAGGTATAGACAGTGGAGTGTCGTTCAACAGGTAAAGTTTATTGTCGTTTACGTGAAAAACGACACGTCATATTTTAATTTGACTTTTTTGTCGTTTTTTGAGTTATCCAGTTTTACCCTGAAAAGTTCGCTTTCTTTGCGCATAAGCGTCTATTAGATCTTATCGCTGTTTGTGTTTTATAACTTTTGTGTCAACGTGTCGTTTTCTAATCAATGTCGTTTTCTAATCTATGTTGTTTCATAGTAGAAACTACGTGTCGTTTTTTAATCCGCTTATTTGTGGAAACGACCTACAATTTTCCATTGTTGGTGCACAGACTCGTATAGGCTATCATAAGTTCATAACACCACATTCGGCGGAGAGAGAGAGAGAGAGAGGCCTCTTTATTGTGGTTTTGTTTCTTCCGTAGAGCTACCTGTGTTTTGTAAATTTGTACTTCTAAAACCCTCGCGATTCAGTCTGAGTTGTACGTCTGATAAATCTCATCGGAACCGCCAACCATGAGCCGCTACGACAGCCGCTCCGGCGACCCCACTTCCTACCGTGACCGGAGAAGGTAAACCCCAATCTCTCTCCACCTTTCTCTCTCTTGCCATCTCCTCATACTCATGTCTCCAATTAAATTCATTTCTTCACACTTCCATTTTCTCCTCTCAAGAATTAAGCTTTTCTCACGAATTACAGCTTACAATCTCTGCGCATTTCTCTGTTTTTCGTCAATGATTGTCCCCAAAACTCAAAATTCGTCTTCTCCAAATTCTTGTTTTAACAACAGTTCATGTTCAATTAGCTGTTTAGTTATTATCCGATATAATTAGTTTTTATATCTCAATTGAAATTTTGAAATTGTGTGTGTGTGTGTTTTTTTTGGGGGTTTCAGTGACTCGGGTTTCGGTGGCTCGGTTCGGTCGTCGTCGTCGAGCCGGAGAGACTACGACGGGGGAGAATCGCCGAAAAAGTTTGACGTGGATGGGTTGACTCCTTTTGAGAAGAACTTCTATGTGGAATCACCCTCAGTGGCTTCAATGTCGGAGAGAGAAGTTGAGGAATATCGCCAAAGGAGGGAAATCACTGTCGAAGGCCGTGATGTCCCAAAACCTGTCAAGAATTTTCGCGACGTTGGCTTTCCAGGTATTGTTTACGTGAAGTTTAATGTTGCATTTTTGAGAGTTTTGGGGATTTTTTTTTTTTTTTTTTGAATGTTGTTTGTTGAGAAAGCCCTTTTCTTATGTAAAGTTCTTGTTTGAGTTCAGATTATGTTTTGCAAGAGATATCAAGAGCTGGGTTTGTTGAGCCTACGCCCATTCAAGCTCAAGGATGGCCAATGGCTCTCAAAGGTCGGGATCTCATCGGCATTGCGGAAACAGGCTCAGGAAAGACTCTTGCTTATCTCTTGCCGGCGATAGTCCATGTCAATGCCCAGCCAATTCTAGGTAAACAAGTAATGTTTAAAATCAATGACTTCATGAATATTGTTATTTAAGTTGCCCTTTTCCTGCACTTCTTGTCTGGGGCTTAGCTTTTATACTTAATGTAATATGTATTTTCAGCTCCTGGAGATGGTCCAATTGTGTTAGTCTTAGCTCCAACTCGTGAACTTGCCGTTCAAATACAACAAGAGTCTACCAAGTTTGGTGCATCTTCAAAGATAAAAAGTACGTGCATATATGGTGGGGTTCCAAAGGGACCTCAGGTTCGTGACCTCCAGAAAGGTGGGTGTTGATTTAGGTTTGAGATGCAGGCCCTGTATGGTTGTTATTTTCGTGTCGTTTGATAAGTTGAGACGATCGTTATGATATTTCTTCATGGTTTGCAGATTTTAGTAATTGCTTCCAGCCTTCCCTTGTTTCTGACGTGATTATTTTTCATCTTCTCTCTCAGGGGTTGAGATTGTAATTGCTACACCTGGTAGGTTGATTGATATGATGGAGTCACATCATACAAACTTGCGAAGGGTCACGTATCTTGTCTTAGATGAAGCTGATCGGATGCTGGACATGGGTTTCGATCCTCAGATACGAAAAATTGTTTCTCAGGTATAGTATTTTATTTCCATTAAATGAGAAAAATATGCCAAAAGTACTAGTTATGTATTAAGAATGTTCATTGATGAGCCCCTCAAAGCCCGTTTTTCATTTTATCTTTCCTATCTTGTTTTTCTACATCTGCTAATTCCGCGATATATTTTCGGTCCATTTCAATAAATATGGATGCTTTGCTGATCATTTAAATTTGTGTTTCTTCCAATGTTCTTTCTTTTGTCATATGATATAGATATTCACTTTTACTTCACTTTGTTTTCTATTATAGACTAGAACTTTGTTACTTTGGCTCCCATAATTTTTCTGGGAAAAGAAAAGAAATGGATTAATGTGAGAACAAATCATTTCACTAGAATTAGGTAGAGTATTTTTTTTTTCTCGTATAGTTTTGTTTGAAAAGGTGGTGATTTGTCAACTGTCAAGCAAACAGAAAAAGGTGCTGATTTATTTTGGTTGTATGCAGATTCGCCCAGACCGTCAAACATTGTACTGGAGTGCTACTTGGCCAAAGGAGGTTGAACAACTGGCAAGGCAGTTCCTCTATAACCCATACAAAGTAAAATACTCAATCTTAATTTTTTGGTGGTGGTAGCTAGACTCACTTGTACACTGTTTTTCCCTTGAATTAGGATTAATGTTAATGGTTCACTTTATTCCCTGTATAACATTGCATTTCCCCCCTGTATTGACGCTTTTCTTTCTTGTACTTTTGAAAGGTGATAATAGGGTCTCCAGACTTGAAAGCGAATCATGCGATTCGCCAGCATGTTGACATTATTTCTGAAAATCAGAAATATAACAAGTAAGGATGCATTTATTTTATTCTTATGGTTTATGTTTTCCAACGATAAATTTGATGAGATTTACAGCAGGCTAATTGACTTATTATATTTCTAGATTAGTGAGGTTGCTGGAAGATATTATGGATGGCAGCAGGATTCTAATATTCATGGATACCAAGAAAGGATGTGATCAGATCACCCGACAACTTCGAATGGATGGTTGGCCTGCCCTCTCGATTCATGGAGACAAAAGTCAAGCAGAAAGGGATTGGGTGCTCTCTGAGTTTAAAGCTGGCAAGAGCCCAATAATGACGGCAACAGATGTCGCAGCTCGTGGTCTAGGTATGGTGTTTTATTTTGTGCTTTTGGAAGGTACTTGGTAACTATGTCTTTGAGTTATGATGTATCTGTTCACGTCCATTGATTATGGAAAATTCCCTTTCCTTGATTATAAGAATGTACAGTTGTCTATCCCTACTTGTAAATATCTCACTAATTTAGTTTGCCTATTTGATTGTATTTTACATTTATGATTACGCTCGTTTGTACTCTTGACAACACACAATTCAGCGAACGCAATTCTTCTCAATTCTCTCTTTTCCCTATATGTTTTAATGGTATCAGAGCAACTAAAGTGGTCCCTTAGGTTACGAGTTTTTTCTTCTCCACTTGGGGTTTTATTTTCCGCTGGTCTTCTTCCTTTCTCTTGATTTGCTCTTCGTTGCCTTCTTCCTTTCAGGGGTTTTTTTTTTTCCACAGCTTTTATTGTTGTTTTCCTTTTGTATTGTTGTCCACTTTCACACCAGAAGCAACACAATACAATCCCAGCCCAAGTACTTTTAACTCAGCCCAATTAGTGCAATCAACAAAGTTCAATCCATTCAGAAAAGCCGTGTCCACAAGCTTTTGGGAGAATTGGTAAAGTAAACCTGGCATCAGAACAGATGGTCCTGAGGTCAAACTCTTGTAATTGTTCTCTTCAAAATTGTCATTGCTGTTGCGATTCTATTATGTTTTGAGCTTATAATTAAAATGTTCACATGTTGAGCCTTCTAATTAATATTTACCCTTACTAATGCCCATTATCCATTTCACACGTGAGGGGGGGAGTGCTAGAATATAAATTATTGTTGGCCCACTTCTTAAAGGAGAAGGGGAGTGCTAGAATATAAATTATTGTTGGCCCACTTCTTAAAAGAGAATTGGTTTACTAACGGTATCTTTTTAATCTGGTGGCAGACGTGAAGGATGTGAAATATGTTATAAACTATGACTTTCCGGGATCTCTGGAGGACTATGTTCACCGTATCGGTCGAACTGGACGGGCAGGGGCTAAAGGAACAGCATACACTTTCTTCACAGCTGCCAATGCCAGATTTGCAAAAGATCTTATTACCATTCTTGAGGAAGCTGGACAGAAGGTCAGTCCCGAATTGGCAGCAATGGGGCGCGGTGCACCTCCTCCTCCTTCAGGTCAGTTGCTGAAGCAAGAACTTGCCGGAGACAAAACATAATACTTTTACATACATCTATATACATGTGTGGAATGATGGTCACGAAATAGCTTTGAGTCACTGGCTTAAGTGTGGGACATCAATGCTTGTCGCTATATTTACCTAATGCTTGCATTCGTTTACAATATCAGGTTATGGGGGTTTTCGAGATCGAGGCAGAGGTTATGGTGGCAGTCGTCCGTGGAGCTAATGGCGTAGAAATTTGGGATCAATTCTTCCATTTCATGGTTTCTGACATTGTATTCAGCTTGGAAAATTTCCAGAGAACTCGTATGAATCTAGAGGATAGGTTTACAGATACGTTTTCCCCGATGGATATAAGTGCTTTTGTTTAGTTTTAAGTTTATGGTTCAGAGACTGTAGAACTTGGGCTAGTTTGTAGCGGAATGTGTAAGATAAACATTTGTTCATATAGTATAACTGGTGATTAAGAAGTAAATTTATTTCACAAACAATTTTCATTGTTGCCTAATGTAGTATTTTATCCAAATACCCAAGAGTTTGCTATTTTCATGTGGGCTCGAGGCTGGAGTTTGCTATATTCATGCAGTATAATTTTTACATTGTGAAGAATTTGTTGCATTGTCAACTGAGTTTTGGTTTAGATTTTATTTAAAAAAACTAATGTTCACTTGCTCATCACAGTTACGTCATTTTCCTAATTGGATTTCCTATCCAAATTCTTACTATTTCGCTGGTAATACTGATCTAATCATGAGATTATTGTGAAATTGTAAACTTGTAATGGTATGTACGCGTGCAGCTGGAAAATTGTAGTCGTCCTTATAAGATTTGTATGATTAATTTTTTTTTTTTGGTATTACTACTATTTATTTTTCTAGTATAATAATTATCAACCATTATGATATTGTATAAAATTAGGGAGAAAGAGAGAAATAGACAAAGAATTGAGATGAATTAAAATTAATAGTTTACATAAGTTAATAAATAGGTCAAATTATTGTTTTTGTCCATAACTTGTCTGGTTATGAACCATAACTTGACAAATTATTGTCCATAATTCACGATTTTTGTCCATAACTTGTCTGGCTATGAACCATAACTTGACAAGTTCGTCCATAACTTATCTGGTTATGAACCATAACTTGACAAGTTATGGCCTATTAATTTCTATAACTAAAAATTGGCCTATATACTTTTTCAAGCTTTTCATATTAGTCTATTTTCTACTATTTCCGATAAAATTATTATACGTAAAATAAAAAGTTACTTCCTGTTGGAGTGATTCCAACACCAACTCGCCGGAATTGCAAGAAACAGTAAAACTAAATAACAGTATAAACACAAAAGATTTGTTTGACCGAGGTTCGGAATAAAATTCCTACGTCCCCGTTGAGCTCTTCCGCAGAAAGACTCTATCCACTAATCAGAGAAAGTACACCCTCAATTCCTCACAACACAGAGATTTCCCCGATTACAGAAACCCACACCCAAGAGAAGAAACTAAGCAAACAACAAGATGAATTCCTAGTGGAAGAACAAACCCAAGAACTCCCAGATCCCCTTGTTCCCAAGCTTACAATTTCTCTCTCTCGAAATCCCTAGAGTTTCTCTCACTAAAATCTCTCTCAGAAGAATACTTCTCTCTCTATCTTTCTTTAGTTCACCGCGAAGAAGAAAAGAGCAAAATCAATCGGTTCCAGAGCCTTCTAAAGCCAATATATAATAAAGTGGTCAACAAGATAATAGCCTTGCCACGTGTACTATTTTGATTGGCTGAAGCTATCAAAACATCCAACTCTGCAAAGCAAGCCTTTAAGTGCCCCGAAACGACATGTGTTTTAGAGTCCAGAAATGCCTTCTCTGTGAATGTCGTTTTATGAGATTAACCTTACAAAATTCCACCTTAATCTCAAAAGAACAACATTGTTTCTGAGTTAGAAATTCTTTTGCGGATGTCATTGCTCAGACTTGATAATTCAAGTCTTTCCAATGCCTAGCAAGTCTAGACACTTCTGAAGCTTGCCAACAATGATCACCTTAGTAGCCATATCTGATGGATTGTCCTCTGTGTCAATCTTCTCTAGTAGAACTACTCCTTCCACCTTCTCTCTGATGAAATGGTGTCTCACATTAATGTGCTTTGTCTTCTCATGATAGACTTGATTTTTACACAAATGAATTGCTGACTAACTATTTGAGTAAATGGTTGTTGGCCCCTTTAAAACCTTTAACTCCTTTAGCAGTCCTTGTAACCACATTGCTTCTTTAAAACCTTATGTTCCAACAATGTATTCTACCTCTGTACTTGATAATGCTACCACTGGTTGAAGTTGAGACTTCCAACTTATGCAATTTCCATCTAAAGTCATCATGTATGCTGATGTAGATCTCCTCCTGTCATTGTCACCTGCAAAATCAGAGTCCACAAAACCTTCCAAGATCAAGTGATTAGTTTTGTGTTTATAAATAATACCATAATCAATAGTAGAATTAACATACTTCTGTAACCACTTCATAGGTAACCAATGATCTGGACTTGGATTTGCCATATATTTACTTAATACACTAATAGAATAGGCTAAATCAGGTCTAGTACAGATCATGGAGTACATGAGTGACCCTACATCACTAGCATATGGTATTTTAGCTATTTTAATCTTATCTTCCTCAATTGAGGGATATTGCTCTGCTGAGAGCTTAAAATGTCCTACAAGAGGGACTTTAACACTCTTAGAATTCTCCATTGAGAACTTCTTGATCACTTTTTTAAGGTAATCTTCCTGTGATAACTGATAAGCATAAAACCTTGTTTTGCCTATCTCTTTTGATGTCAATACCCAAAATCCTCTTAGCATTACCTAGGTCTTTCATATCAAACTCAGAACTTAGGAGACCTTTTACTTTCTTAACAACCTCAATACTAGCACTAGTAATTAGCATATCATCTACATATAGTAAGAGATATACTGCTGACATAATACCAATATCTTTAAAATATAAACATGAATCACTCCAACAGTGGTATCAGAGCCAAAGGGTTTGTGATTGGTGAAGGAGCTCGCGGCTAAATCTTGAGTTTCTTGATTGACAAGGATGGGCACGACAAGATTCAAATTGGAAAAGTTCGATGGGACTGGTGATTTTGGGTTATGGAGAAAAAAACCCAAGGCTATTCTAGTTCAGCAAAAAGTGGCCAAGGCACTAAGAGGCATGAAGGATGTTTCTGGAACTGATGAAGAAAAGAAAGAGATGCAAGAAATTGCATTTTCAACCATCATCCTATACCTGTTAGATAATGTACTTAAGCAAGTCAACGAAGAAGACACCGCGACAAAGGTATGGCTCAAACTCGAGCAGTTGTATATGACCAAGTCTTTGACTAATAAGATTTATCTCAAGACAAGTTTGTTCAGTTATAAGATGGATCCCAACAAGAGTTTTGAAAAAAATCTTGATGATTTTAACAAAATAATAATAGACTTAGCCAATATCAGAGAAAAGATTGACGAGGAAAACTAAGCCGTGATCTTACTTATTTCTCTACCTGAAACCTTTAAAGAAGTTAAGAATGCCCTTAAGTATGGGAGAGAAAGCTTGACTTTAGAAGATGTACTATCAGCTTTGAGATCAAGAGAATTAGAAATTAAGAATGAATTGTCTGCCAGGGGTGATGAGGGTCCATTTTCAAGAGGTAGGTCACAGAAAAAGGATTTAGAAAAATTAAACAACAGACCCAGTTCTAGATCTAAGTCTAAGTCTGGTTAGAGGAAATGTTTCTTTTGTAATAAGCTTGGTCATATAAAAAAACACTGCAACAAGTGGAAGAAGCAGCTGGCTGAGAAACCAAATGAGCGTGGAGATGTAGCAATAGCCAGTTAATGTGATGGTTATGAAAGCTCAGAGATGCTTGCTGTGTCCCTAGGTCAAAATGAAGAAGAATGGATACTAGACTCGGGGTGCACTTATCATATGTGCCCTAGGAAAGAGTGGTTTTCAGAGTATGAAAACATTCATGGAGGAAAGGTGTTGATGGGAAACAATCACTCGTGCCCTGTGGTTGGTATTGGATCCGTAACACTCAAATTGAAGAATGGAACTTCACATGTCCTTAAAAATGTCAGGCACATTCCTAACCTAAGGAGAAACTTAATCTCCTTAGGAACTTTAGATGATGCAGGCTACTGTTACAAGGTAGAAGGTGGAGTACTTAAGGTGCCAAAGGGCGCTTTGGTGGTCCTTAAAGGCAATAAACAACATGGTTTGTATGTGCTTGAAGGCCAAACTGTCATAGGCTTAGCGGCTGCCGCAGTAAAGAAGGACACACAAGCTGTTTTGTGGCATAGAAGACTTGCTCATGTGAGTGAGAGAGGACTTCAAGAACTAAGCAAACAGGGCCTATGTGGAAATGATCAAATAGTCCACCTAGACTTTTGTGAGCAGTGTGTTCTTGGAAAGCAACACAGGCTCAAGTTTGCTACTTCGACTTACAGAGCCAAAGAACCTTTGGATTATGTCTATGGAGATCTCTGGGGTCCAGAAAAGGTGCCAACATTCGCAGGTCACAAGTATTTTCTGTCCACTGTTGATGATCATTCTAGAAAAGTATGGGTTTATTTGCTTAAAACTAAAGATGATTGTTTTGATAAGTTTAAGCAACGGAAGGCTTTAGTTGAAAATCAAACAACAGAAAATTAAAGGCCTTTAGAACGGATAATGAGATGTAATTTTGTCATGCGATTTTCACTAATTACTGTCAAGAAAGGGGAATTCTAAGGCATAGAACTGTAAAGAAAACCCCTCAGCAAAATGGAATTGCTGAGAGGATGAATATGACTCTTATGGAAAGAGTTAGATGCATGCTCATTAGTTCAGGACTTAATAAACACTTTTTGAGATGTTGTTTCTACAACCAGTTATCTAATTAATAGGTGTCTGATTAACGCTCAAAAGTGATGTTCACAAGCGGTCGATTGTAGCACAGAAGGACAGTCGTATCCACATAGAGATAACAAAATAACAAGAAAGATTAACAGAATAAGAGCGTTAGAGAAAAATAAATAACAAGTAAATTAAAGAAAAATGAGAGTTTTTGAGATTTTTGTTGCAAATAAAAAAGAGAGAAGATTTATGTGGAAGAAATTTAATAATAAAAATGGTAAGGTGTCGAGAATCCCTAATGTTTCGTTCACCAATTCAAGTTTTGATTCACAAAATAAAAGAATCAAATAAATTAAATCTCTATGTTGACTTTAAAAATATTATTATTACAAGTTATCCAAAATCGACAATATATCAATTTGACAATATTGCAGTAAAAGACAATTTGTAAAATAATTTGAATAACAGAATAGTGCATGACAGAATTACATAAAAAAAACGTGACTGGACTTATATAAAAATTGGCACACAATATTTTAAAAAGTAAAAGAAAAATAGATGAGATTTAATTCATTCAGATATTGAACTTTACAACACATGGAATCAAAAGCCCGAATTGGGTCACTCACA